TGCATCTCTTAGTGGAGGGAGCTGTCATTACATTGCAGAGGATGCAGGTACAAGGAGGAATAAATGAGCTTGGATGCTTACCTGGAAATACTTTACCTGTGCCAGCAATGGCTCCCAAGAAGCAGAGAAAAAGGGAGACCTGAGTAGGTAGACAGTGGATAAACCAGCATTGTCTGGCCAGTAGCATGTAAGAAAGTCTTAGCAAGACCTTTCTTTCTTAGAGTGTCTATTGCAGATTAGATTTAACTCTGGTAACGGTTATTATGCTGAATATAAATGTGTGACATTGGGGTTGGCCTAGATTTCAGAAGGCCCTAGAACCAACAGAAATCAAGATTTAGGCTTATAAGGATATTTGGTTTTAAAAATGACCAATCTGAAGACAAGAGGCAGTAGCTGACCTGGGAATAACACGTTCCCACCCTATCCTTCTGTAAAAATAGCCCTCGTTATTCAAGGGAGCGTGATCATCTCACACATGCAGAGCAAGTGGGTGTGAAAGAGTTGCTCTCTGTAGCCCACAGGACTATTAATATCTTTCACTCATGGCACTTTTTTTTGTTTAGCACCTCAAAAGTGCCTTGTAACTGACATTTCAAAATGTCCTCGTAAATAATAAATGTGGGTCTTTGTGGTCCCCATTTCTTCACAGGTCTTAGGATCCAAGGGTTGTTGTGGCTCTGTGGAGGTTGTGCAATTTGTTTTGCCAACTCCTCCCAAGATTGTGTTTGCTTTTAGTATAAGGGAAATGGGCACAGTGTTCACAGGCCTCCCTACCTCATCCAGTTAGTTGGAGTAACACAGTTGGAGCCTTGAACCCACTCATCCAATGGACTAGATGGAGATAAAGCTTGAATATTGTCGATTTTCTTCAGCCACAGCTCTAGCTTTGGGCAGATTGTTTTTGTTTTTTTTAATATAAAAATCAGAAAAGGCATTGGTCTTAACTTTAGAAACTATGCTGAGCTGGGGACATTGTTTTCCAACTTAAAGGTAATATTGTGTGTAACTAAAATTTGTGAAGCACTTTGTGCTAGTTGATGCTCTATTCTTATAACAACCCTATCCCCTGATTCTGTTATCATTTCCCCTTTCACATGAGAAGATCTAAGGAGCTTGCTCTCATCCATTGCAGTGAGATTGTCAGAAAGTAAGGGAGCTGGGACAGGGACCAGGAAGTGGGGCTTGAGAGAAGGACTTGTCTTTCAGTCCCTTGTTGTTTTGCTTCTTGTGTTGTGAAATTCTGTTCCACCACTAACAGTTTTTGCCTCCCAGATGCCCAGTCCCACCTGGAAACATGGAAATCCTCAGTGTTCTGTCCAGTGTGCCACCTGGGCTTGTTCCTTTCATGCTTTTCGGCAAATGGCTTGGAACAGAATGTCTGAAGGCCCAGAGAGTACATTCCAGCAAGGAGAAGGGGACCCATATTATATAAATATGGGTTCTCAATGGGAAGCAATAAACTGAGAACCTTTGTTATACCATGTGACTGGTGACAACATCACCAGGTACAGTCCGACATAAATAAATAATGGATTTCTGGTTAAAGATGACAAATTGAGCAAAACAAACAAACAAACAAAAAGCCCTGCCACGTTAAAGATAAAGTGATATTGAAAGAATCAGACAAGAACTGACCAGAAAAGTGAGATGACAGTAGCTCTGACACAAGCCACAAAGGTGAGAATCGCAGGGACATATGGTACCAGTGTTAGCAGACATGAGAAGATTGAACTGGCCAACACTGGGAAGCACCAAGACACAAACAGCAGCATAGCACAAGGCCACACATGCCCAGAAATGATGACATAAATGGAAGGTGGGAGTGGTGTTAGCCTCAGGGTGAATAGTTGAAAATCCCTTTAAGAAGCAAGTAGACCCTTCCCTCCATCATAAACAAAGAGACATACTCTGACCCCAGATTAGAACCACGGGCTTGATTATTGAAAGTAAAGCATGGTACTGTTCAGCGGAGTCTCAGAGACTTCCAAAACAATATAGGCTATTGCTGTTGGTTGTCCCCGGAAGTTTAAGGTAAGTCTCTATTGGTAACGACACCATGAATTCTAGACACAAAACCCAGAGCATTTGAGCTGGATATGACCTGAAAGCCTCGAAATCAGGAGAGGACAGGAGTTCACAGAAGGAAGATGAACAGAAGAACTAATTCCAAGAGGCAAAAGAGAGTTTGGCGGTGAAACAGTGTTAGGATACCATAAAACAGAAACGTTCATGAAAGTGGAACTCCATTGTTAGAAATGAAAAAACTGTTATAAAATGAAGTTGCAGAAGATAGTTATTCATCCAACAGGCATTATTAACTACCCACTTAATGTGAGAACAGACACCATTCATTCTAGAAACATTTCAGTGAAAAAACAAATAACAGTGTTTTCTGTGTTAGGGAGGCCCTTCCCATTCATTATCCCTTTATCTATCTGTTTCCACATTTCATCCATGAAAATATTTTATTTGTAAGACGTGTCTTAAAGCATCTTGGTCCATTGGGGTACTGTAACAAAATGCTTCACAGTGGGTAACTTAAAAAAAAAAACAGCATAAATATGTTAAATGTGTTGGTCACAGCTGTGTAGGCTACGAAGTCAAAGATAAAGGCACCCGAAGATGTGGTAGGTGTTAGTGTTTGCTTTCTGCTTCAAAGCGATACCTTCTTGCTGCATTTTTTATAGAATAAGCAAACAACTTCCCACTGGCCTCTTTTATAAGGTGATAATTACTCAATCCCTTCCTTAAAGTCCCTTCCTCTTAATAGTATTGTGTTGGAGACAATGTTTCCACCTGTGAACTTGGGATACTGGGTATAAAATAAGTATAAATCATTGTTATTACACACACACACACACACACACACACACACACAGACACACACACACACACACACACACACACGCACGCACACACACACACACACACACACACGGGAGAGGGGTATTAGGAGCTTAGAAACAGCTCCATGATGGAAAGACAACAGAGAAGGGTGCCACTGATGCTGGCATGATAGTGTGTGAAGAGAAGTGTAGATGGGCCTCGGTGTAGGCTGTTTGAGGCTGAGACTGGCAGGAAGGTCAGAGCCTGAAGAGAGGTTATGGCAGGAAATACTGTGGTTTCTGATGGACAAGACAGTCAGTCGTCTCATTTATGATAATATAAGCAGAGGCTGGAATGGATCTGCGTCTTTCTCCAACTTCTAAAGTGCTCACTTGAGGGCATCTTCTCCTTGACACATCTCTTCCCCTCAGTTTCTCCCCACTCCTAATTGGGTGATTCATGTTTAGAATCATTTTGGAACATGGGGTGGGGTCTTGAAAGCCCTTAATTGAAACTTATTATTCTTCATTGAGATTTTGTTCTTATTAAGAAAATGATTCATTGAAAATAAAATGACTCATTGTAGTAACAAATCAAGTAACAAATGTCAAACTTGGATGGATAATTAGGTAGGCCAGTATGAAAGTGCCATGTATTTTTGGAGCCGTCATTATTAATGACTCATAATATTTTGCACATACAGTTTGCCTCTAAGCATATATCACACCTGTGAATGATACATTTTCACACACCCCATAATGACATTTTGGCTAGTGATAGACTGAATATACAATGATAATCCCCCAGTGTTATATCAGGAACTGAAAAATTCCTATCAACTGATGACACCATATAAATAATAATGTTATAGTTCAGCCCATTACTCATGTTCATGGTGACATGAGTGTACACAAACATGCCAGTCATATACAAGTGCAGCAATCTACTTGGCTATAGTAATCCTTAGTAATAAACAGCAAGTTTGTATTTACTGTAGTATATCCTTTTTCATGAGTTCACAGTGTACTCCTATTTATAAAAATGTATATTACACTCCCTGAAGGAGGAGGTCAGTTTGGAGGTCTGGACAATCTATGGGGCCACTGGTGGTGGATCAGTGTCTACCCCTGGTACACAGATGAACTTTGGGAGCCCTCTCCACACAGAGGGATGCTCTCTCAGCCTAGACACCCTGGGGAGGGTCTAGGCCCTGCTCCAAATGATGTGACAGACTTTGGGGATCCCCATGGAAGGCCTCACCCTCACTCTCTGGGGAACAGAATGACATGTAAAACAAGCCTGTTTCTAATTTGAATAAAAAAAAAGAGAAAAAAGTTTTTTTTTTAAAGTATATTATAAAAACAGTCTGTGGTTGCACAAACAGCGGTCATCTATATTCACACTCACCAAATCTCTTAATTACACTGTTTTCTCTTTTCTTGGTTCCTTTTGGATCTGCCAGTAATCAAATCTAGGATCTTACAGCTAAATCCACTGGACCACATCCCAGCCTTCTCATGCTTGATGTGTTTCTGTGTCAGGGATATTATATATTTACACATGCAGCTAGTGTGTACTGAACCTTTTCTCTTGGTTAAAGCACAGACGCGGTGATGTTTCCACAATGAAATCAACACCATTGCTCAGCAACCCCATTGTTCAGTGACACGTTACTCTGTGTGCACATTCGAGAGAAAAATTATCAACTTCACCTTGAAGATTCTGGACTCGGTGTAGTAAATTCCCAGATCCAGAAATGGGTTGACTGGGGCCTTTTTGAGACATGGTTTCTCTGTAGCTTTGGAATCTGTCCTGGAACTCACTCTGTAGACCAGGCTGGCCTTGAACTCAGAGATCTGCCTGCCTCTGCCTCCTGAGTGCTAGGATTAAAGGCATGGGCCTTTTTAAAAAATGCCAAATACTATATATTTCAGATGTATTCTGCTATTTCTGCACAGGTATACATGTTCTGAAGCTAAAGGAGACAGCTGGTAATATTAAAAAGTCAGCTCTGGCCTTGCAGTATTTCTGTATGAGCTCACATGTTGTAGTTTGAGGGATTCAGAGGTATTCATTCAGTCTCATCTGAAGAAGCAGATTAGTTTTTGTTAGCTTGAGTCTGTTTTAAATTTTTTTGTACAAATTTGACAGATGATTAACTTAAAATCAGTGTTACATTTGCATGTAAGAAACTCTCAAGTGTAGAAAGCTAGTGGTTAGTCACCATGTTAGTTATTGTTCTCATCAATGTGACCAAACCTGACAGAAATAAATTAAAGGAAGGACGGTTTTATTTGCTTATGGTTTCTGAGGATCACAGAGGGGCAGGCGCAATGTGGCTTGGTCTGTGGTGGTGGGAGCATGAGGCATTTGGTTCCATCTGGAGATCTAGACCAGCACTTTCAAAGGCTCATCCCTAACAGCCTTGTTCTTCAGTTAACTGTGTCGAGAATATTCCACAGCCTCCAAGCAGTGCCCTTAGCTGGAGGACAGTGTATGAGTCTGTGGGGGGCATTTCAGATTTAAATTTCAGTAGCCACTTAATGAAGACATACCAGCTCTCAGCTCAAAGCTTGTAGTGTCCTAGACACCATTGGACATTCAAGGAGCAAAAAAAAAATGTGATGTCTTGTCTTTCTGGAATTTCCAGTACAGAGGAAATTGTTAAGCAATAATTACACACACACACACACACACACACACACACACACACACACACACACACACACGCTGAAATCTTTTTTAAAGGGGAAGTTTAAAACTGATCTATAAAGAATACTTGTTAGTTGCCATTTAGATGGAGGAGGATAACTATGTCTATTTATAATATACAGAGAAGTAGGGGAAGACTAGGAGCTCTCAAAGAAATAGTATATTTCAATATTTCAAGGAAAGTTGACAGTGTTCAATGTTGTTAGGAATGTGTTAGTCAGATTTCTTTAACCACAAAGAATTGTCTGAGATTAGCCTCTTAAAGAAGAGGAAAAATTATTTTGGCTTACAGTTTTGGAGGTTTAGTCCATGGTTTATTGACCTGTTGTATTTGGACCAACAGCCGAGTAGAGCATCATGCTTGGAGTACCTTATAGTGGTTAGATAGTAAAAGAGAAATAGGTAAGAGTTCATGGTCATAGTGTTCTCTTCAAGGGACAGATCCACAATGACTGATCTTCCCGGAAATCTCCCTTTAAAGCAGTTGTTCTCAACCTGTAGGTCCCAACCCATTTGTGGTCACATATCAGATATTTACATTTCGATTCCTAGCAGTCGCAAAATGACAGTTGTGAAGTGGCAATGAAACAATTTTATGCTTGGGGGTCACCACAACATAAGGAACTATATTAAAGGGTCGAAGCATTAGGAAGGTCAAGAACCACTGTTTTAAAGGCTTCACTATCTTCTAATAGCACTGTGAGTTGATGGCCAGTCTAGCACATGGGCTTTGGGGGACATTTATCCAACACAAGAAGGGCTGATTGAGTGCCACTTAAAAGAAAGCCGTTGCATATGCCAACATGGAAGACATGGATGGTCTTAACAAAAAGTATCAATAGTGGATGTCAGAGCCAATCCCA